ATTGCGTGGATGGCAATGGGCCCATAGCGTGGATGGTCTCAAGAAGAGGCCAGACTTAAATGGATGCCCAGGCAATCTACTCTAAAAAAAAATCAAGAATTTTTGTTTGCTAAACATAATACAAAAGTAATAACAAACAGCTATATATTGTATCACTGGCTTGTTTAAATCTTATATAGTAAAACATTCTAGCGCAATATAAATATCATCTGTCCTGTTTTTTGCACAAAAATAACAATATGCACATGTACCTACCAAGGCTACCTCTGATCAGTGTGTCTAGTAGATACTGTACCATCATAACTTCATCAGTAGCTTTACATCAACATATGTAAGATATGTAAGATATGCTGATTTCAATCAGCAAGCATCTTGCCACTGAGTTCCAGAGCAAGTGTGCTTGCTCAAATTTACTTAGTTAAAAGGGTTTTTACTCTCATTAAACCAGAAAAATTCTCCACTTTGTAACAAAAACCTGTTATTATATATACTACTATACACTCGTTCATTTTACCAACAGGGAAGTACATTAACATGCCATTTTCATTTCTCGAAGCAAGTGCAATATTTTCAAATTACATGTACTCTTCTAATTTAAAGGGGGAAAAATAATTCTCATTCAGAGCTAAACAGTGAGTGAGATGACAGCTTCATCTTTTTTCTAAAATCCGGAAGGGTGCCATGTCATACAAGACAAAATTGTAAAAGAGTTAATGTGTTCAACAATGTCAGTATAATGCATGCAGATAACCGTATATTATCTTTCTCAGTCAAAAACAGGTTATCCATTTCAAAACATTTAAGATTTACTGTATACAAAATTGCAATGGTGAGAAAATTGTGCTGCTGTGTTTCAGTGAGCAAGATTCTCAGCAGTGCAACATAACAGAAACACAAATAAGGGGACTGAGCAGAGAAAAGTTCGGTACTTTTAAAACTCATTCATACTCAAATCACCAATTACTGGATGGTTCACAATATATGTAATATTTAATATGTGCCTAAGGCTTGGAACACTTTACAGGGTAAAGAAACAATCTTGGGTTAGAGTCAGATAAAACTAATTACCAGAAAGGAGCCTTACAGAAATACTTGGGGGTAAATGAATAATTGAAGTATATCTAAACCAGTAGAAAAATATCACATTAAATTCGATACAATGGGGCCAATTTCATAGAGTTGCCTAAGCACAAAATTTGCTGGAGCATTGAAAAACCTTGCTTAAAAAACCAAAGGTCACCAGCTCAAACTCTGATTGTCATGCTAACCAAAAGGCAGGTAAATACGATCCCAAAACAATATACTTCACATGAAGTTTTGGCTATTTGCCTGATTTATCAAGCAAGGTTTTCTCACGCTTAAGCAAATTTTGTGGTTAAGCAGCTCTATGAAATCGGTCCCAGGTTGGACACCAGTCGCTGTACACTTCATGATGTCCATTCTTGGCATAAAGTAGACTGTGTGAAACTTCAAAACAAAGACCTCAATCTGTATTCTAGTGCAAACCAAAGCAAACTTACTGATGCAAAATGGCAAATGTTAAGACTCATTACATGGGGTCCAGTCACAAGCTGGATTTGACGCTCAGTCAGCTCTTGGTGAACGCCATCTTCACCAGCCAACATAATCACGTCCTTTGACTGACCAGAATATTTTTCATCATTCTACCTTCAATTTTGAACAAGACTACTACACAGTCGATGTATGTCCTATGGAGCTTTCAGAGCCCCAATGACACGGGATAACAGTGAAGAATATCAGCTGTATGATGCTTGGTTATGATGTAAGTAATGAGACTAGCAATGTTTTTATTTTATACGGAATAGTAATTATATGATATCACATCTAAATATCACTTTCAGGTCTACCTGTAGTACTTTATCAATAAATAAACTTATCTCCTTTTCCGATGCACACATGGAATGCAAACACAATCACTTTACATAAAGAGGGAATCAACAGAGTTTGAAATGTACAGTAATTCAATAACTTATCTACTGATACAAAAATACACTTATCAACTGCATTTACTTGGCTTCAAGGGAACAGATACAAGCACAGCTTACTGGGCGGACTGTAAACAGGTCACACCCCCTCTTGATCATCCATAGGAATAATGCCACCAGTGCTACCACAATAATGAATCTGAGTTTAAGTGGGAAAAAAAGAAACATATCCAAAAACATATCTGAAACCTGCTGTGCATGGATTCTATCAAGGGAACCAGGGTGGCGCTGAAGGAAACAAAAACTTCTAGACTTCTAATGGACCTGTGCAACAACGGTTGAGGGGGCTTTGCCCTCTATTCATGACAACCATGTGAGGGCTCTTGACGGGGCCCTATCAAGTGTTTTCTACATGTACAGATTCCCAACTATTCACCAACAAAAGCATGAGGTCAACATGAGCTTAAATATTTCACATTGGCAAACCTACATGCAATGAACAGAACACTTGTCTACACTTTGTGACAGAGCTGTGGTCAAATTCCGCGAGTCACCCAGGCTCAAATCATGAGCAACTCCAATGAAATTCTGACAAAGGTATCCCTCTGTCACCATACATGTCTCATTGCTTGTGATGTAAATTGTGAATGACTTGTGACTGGATCCAACCGCGTCTCTTCTTTGCAAGATTTCTCCACATATGGACAACAATTTAAAGATGGCCACGGTCCGCAGTAAGGTAGCTCTGTTACAAACCACTGGTTTGGACAGTAAACCTATCAAAATAGGCAAAGTCTCTGACATCAATGCTACTGTCCATCTAAGGTAATAATTCTTACTTTCAGGGATCGCAAGCAAGAATTGGAATTACACCGTCACAGTATACATGAGCTTCTGCGTCCAGTACTTCCTTGGCCTTGCCGTCAACGACAGCATACTTTCACTGACAGAAATTTCGGTATCCATCAAAGGGCCTACAAAAGGTTATTTTTTTTCAAGCAGTCCATTTGAACACACCTTTGTGTTTCATTAACTGTTTTGTCATTTTGCCATTCTAGGGCTTTTCTACGCACTCAGCGATTATATGGTATTGCAATTTACATCTTCATGCAAGTCAAGTGTGATGTCGTTTCAGGAAGCCACCTTGATGTTCCAACTGTTTTTGCACCAAACATAAATAGAATTGTAGATTGTTTGCAGTCCAAAATTTTATGTTCTTCGGTTGATGCTCCAGCGCAAGACAGTAAGCTAGTGAGCAAAGTTTTCGCACAGAAATTTCAGCTTACAATGTTTGAGTTTACAAATCAAACCAAAAACTGTGAAAGGACATCCGAGTAGCGGTGCCCTCGCTTGTCGGGAAAAGCATGGAAACCTTGCCATGTTTCAAAAGTACACTGTCAAATGTAACTTACACAGGATACCAATAGATGTGATGAATTTGAGGGGACTAGAGTGTTTAACAAAATATGTCTACAAGTAACATTCACATCATAGGCCCTAAAAGCTCAACCTTCAACAGCTTATATTTAAATATGGGTCAAATGTCATTCCATGAGGTTGGGGCACAATTTGTGACGGTGTCCTTGTTTAGATGGGTAATTTTTTAACACCTGTCATGACCTGTAGAGTCTAGTAGGTCATTTACTCTTTAAAAATAACACACCCCTCTGTATTCAACCTTGCAAAATGTATAATTTGGAATCCACATGCAAGGAAATCACTGTTCATTTTTACGGAACTCATGTAACAATGGACACCGTCACAAATTGTGCCCCAGCCTCATGGGATAACGCATATATGATTAGTGTTTACATATCTTAGTGTGGAGAGTACTCCATATACCACAATCGAAACTCTGCCACGTGAAATAAAATTCAGCAACGGATTGAAAACTACGACTCGCTGTTTGCTAGTACAGATGTATGAATGCCTTGACTGTCACTTAAGGTCTCACCAAGAAGACACCACACATTTCGTTTTCTTGGATTTAGGAATTCAATTGTTTAGTTTCTGCTATTTTATATTTACATATTCTTTTATCCGGAGGAAGCTCTTTGACAATAGTCTCAATCTGCGCAGTTAGTGTCTTCTCTTGATCGGTCTAAGCCAAGTCTATCCTGGACAATGTTCCTCAGTGGTCAGAGCAGGGATACCAGTGGGTTCTCGGTCCAGGACCAGAACTCGTACATGTAGGTAGACTGGCTTTGATAATTTGATTATAACTGCAAATGGGTGGGGTGAGATGGAGGAATGACAGATGCTTTCCCCCACTGCTATCATTGCCACAACTTGCCACTTGTACTTTGAATAATTGGTATCATGTACAGAATGAAAGCAGTTTCATCACAGTTTGGATGTACTGAACTTGCAAACCGCCGTCAGAATTTTTTCATGGTCAATCCAATGCAAAGGAAAAATTGTGTGTTAGTAGTGTGATACAGTAATGACTTGACCTGCAACCTGCTTCTCCTGACGAGGCTTAAACTTTGCAGCTGCACAAAACCATGGCTTGTATAACCAAGACAAGGCAAAGTGCGACAGGTGGAAAACCCTAGTACACTTTGTTGTATTGGGAAATCGACATCGGCTGAACAGACTGCCCAAGTTGTGCCAAGAGTAGCCAGTCCCGCTGAACATTGCAACTGTTGGAGTCTGCGGCGGCTGGCAACCACAGACTCTGTGACCGTTTGGCCTTGGGGAGAGTTGACCTGCTGGAACTGGGTGTACTCTGCAGGCAAGTATTAAACTTCAACAAATGGTGCAAAATGATGCGTCTGCAAGGGGTTTAAAGCCAGTACACCCAGGAAGGTTAGGGTACGTAAAATTCTCTTGCACATAGTTGAGACGGAGGGAGGAAGGAAATTGCCTTCCCAAGATCTTGAAGGGTAAAAACCACCGCTCTGAATTCTACCAGGGATCACCCTAGGCATTGGGACATGAGCCGCCACTACAAGGAGCTCTCAGTCTTGTCTTTCTCGCCCATGCCCACCTGGATGCTGCGGATGTCCACGCCGTCAACTGAGGCCGTCTCTTTGCTCTGAAGGGCCTCCTTGTTGCTCACCTTCTTCCACTCTTTGTTGAAAATCTCCTTGGTTTCAGTGGGACTCTCTGCCTTGGTCTCCCGCTCCATCTTGGTGGCGGCCCGGGCCGCTGCATACTGGTTGCGGGTGACGCGCAGGTACTGGACGTCTGACAGGGCACGGACTGTGAAGTCCGGGACGAAGGGAGGGGCAGCCGGCGTGTTAGAGCCTGCGCTCATGCTGCTGCCCACGCTGGTGCGACTGCCGGAGCGCGAGATGGTGGTGGCGGTACCTGCACGGAATTCACATGGAGACACTGGCTAATACAGTATCCATTCCAAATGGGAACAAGAGAGGACGTGTTCTCACATAAAGATGACTCTTCTCTGGTGGAGATTCCACCGTGTGGTTTATGTGCACTGAGCGCGGGACACACTTGATTCCCGCACGCAGCCTCCGCTGAAATGGTTAAAATGTCTGGTTTCTGCAATAGCGCCGGGTACGTTGATGAGCCCTATTGTAAAACTTTCTTTAGCCCATCTTTTCTGTGCGGGCGAGGGTGCACTTGACCACATGTGGACTAGCAATGAGGCCATCGGTGAAATAAAATATGCCCCCAAGGGACTGTGAGTGACCTGACGATCCTATTTCCTGAGCCAGCATGCCAAGGGAAATAGGACCCCCCCTCTATCACTCAAAGCCCCCAGGAAAATAAAAACATACACTAGTGACCAAAAAATATTTTACATGTTTTATGACACTTTGTCCAAAATGTAAAATACAGGAACCTTTCGTGGTTTTTAGAATTGAGGGTGCTGCAAACAGTCACAAACATTGAGTACAGCGCCCGATCAGAAATTACGCTCTGGAGTTGCACATGTGCAACTTGGTTGCACTTGATAACTAAATCGAGATCCAATTTAAATATATTTCTGTTTGAATACTACATTTGTTGAATATTCAATTGCATTCTTCTAACAAACAGCATTACAGAATGGTTGACCTCAGCTCCAGGCCCACTTGGCAAAACACATGATTGTTATGATAGTGTTTTGAGTGATTTCGGTAATTTGAAGGAGTCATTGTGTGAATAAAAGTGATGAGCGTATTCGGGAGGTTTCAAATGCATTGATGCTTGTGTGACACTGCAATTAACCAATGAAAAAGAACCATTCCCTGCAGGTAACGCATGCAAGATGTCAACTATGAAGTTGAAAGGCGACTTCCGTGAGGTAAACACTCTGGGCACTCGGTGGTGTAAATTAGTCCTTTAAAAAAAAATTGTTACCAACCTCCGGGAGAAATCAGAGCATGCTGGCCAAAGAATGCGAAGGGTCCCTGCTCAAAGACCAAGTTCTCCTTGCCGATGGTCACCTCCACTCTGCCCTGCAGGATGATGATGAAGTAGTCCGCCTGCTTGCCCCGGCTGTACAGGTACACAGGGGCGTGTCTGCTGTCCTCCAGCCTGGCGTTGTGGTAGATGTCTTGCTCCAAGAGCCGGTGCAAGATCGTCTCCGAGATCATCTCGATCTTGAACGGTTCCACGGCTAAAGATTGGAGGACAGAAGATGAAGAGGGCCAGTGTGAAGCATTACACAACATCTCAGTCAATCCCTGTCATCTGATTGGTGGTGTCATTGACTTTAATATTCAACGATGTACCCATTGGATGTGCCCAGTTAAACACACTGCCCAACTTTCACAACTGATGAAGTATTCCTCTTTGAGTGAACTGACTGTGATGATGGGGGCAAGTGCAAAAGTTTCAAGTGTTACTGGTAGATTACATAGCTAGTAAAAGAACATTCAAAAGATGAAAAGGAGATAAATGCAAGGTCCACATTTTAAATCCGATATCTGTTGAAAGATTTTGAACAATCTATAGAAAGGTTCTAGGATTTGTTTTACTTAAACACTGTCAGTTGCCAATGTCAGCAATTGGTGACCACTTACAAACCTTAACCCTAA